GATTACTGGCCTGAGCCACTGAACCTGGCCGGGATAGTAGGTTTGAAAGGTAGGCACAGCCGGGCATGGTGGCTCACACCTGTAATCCCAGCACTTCAGGAGGCTGAGGCGGGTGGATCATGAGGTCAGTTCAAGACCAGCCTGGCCCAGATGGTGAAACCGTCTATAGTAAAACTAAATAAAAGGCACCAGCCTTTCTTAAGGTGTGTAAGAATCCACAGATCTTGGCCGGGTGTGGTGGCTCACACCTATAATCCCAGCACTTTGGGAGGCTGAGGCGGGTGGATCACGAGGTCAAGAGATCGAGACCATCCTGGTCAACCAGGTGAAACCCCGTCTCTACTAAAAATACAAAAAATTAGCTGGGCATGGTGGCACATGCCTGTAGTCCCAGCTACTCAGGAGGCAGGAGAATTGCCTGAACCCAGGAGGCAGAGGTTGCAGTGAGCCGAGATCGCGCCATCGCACTCCAGCCTGGGTAACAAGATCGAAACTCCGTCTCAAAATAAAAAAAAAGAATCCACAGATCTAAAGCAACAGGCTGCACCTCTGAACATTCCATGGAAGCAAGAAGGGAGCAGGAGCCAGAGTCCCACTCCTGAGCTGAGATAAGTTGGGGCGGAGGGCAGGGTTTGCACAGGAGATGGCTCAGCCTCTGCCCCTGAAGTGTCGGACCTTCACCAGGGCAGGGAGGAGCATACAGTGCCCAGCGATTGGTGCATCCCTGGCTTTGCAGAGCTGCCAAGGCCTCCCTGTCACCAGCACTCACTGCTGTCCACCCCCTGACCGCAGTCCCGTAGCTGCCACGGTCCTCTGCAGAGACTACTCAGTTTTATCCAATGCCCTTCAACAGCTAAGGAGATACAAAAGGCTCCCCTAGCAGAGGTGGGGGCCCCATGGGGCCGGGGAGACGGTTCCCAAGGCACACATGGGAGGGAGTGAATGGAAGAGCACAAGACTGTGCTGCAGTCCGAACGGTCCCTCCATAATTCACGTGTTGGAATTTAATCACCAATGTGACGGCATTAAGAGGTCGGGCCTTTGGGCAGTGGCAGAGCCTCAAGAATGGGCTTCGTGACCTCACAGGAGGTGTGAGGGAGCCGCCTCCCTTCCCTTGGTCCTTCTACCACCCCTCCGGTCACATGAGGATGCAGCAACAGGTGCCATCTTGGAAGCAGAGACTGGGCCTCCGAAGATACAAAGCTGCTGGTGCCTTCATCTTGGACTTCCGGCCTGCAGACCTGTGCAAAATCAGCGTCTGCTATTTGTACATCACCCAGTCTCAGGTGTTTCGTTACAGCAGCATGCCCGGACTCGGAATCTCCTGCTGCCTCCACACCCACGTCCACTCACCGCCCCACCCTCCAGGCAGCCACCCATCCTCCACCTTCCCCAGGTAAAACACCTTGTTCATTTCCCCTAAGACAAATAGCTTCCATTTTGCTTCTAAAATCCACATCTGACGAAGCTGTTCTCCAGCAAAGGGCAGACCCAGCATTTGTCTTTGTCAAAACAAATGTTATCAAGCCTGTAATTGACATTTTTTTCTAGCTTCAGTATTTTGCCTAAATAATTCCTCATCAAAATTGCAAGCTCTCTAAGAAATTATTCTTTACTGTAGTAATTTTCACAGGAAAACTTAAGACATAATTGCAGAATACATTTTGAGTCTCAGTGTTTGGACACAGCCCGGTGCTGGTGTTTATATGTGATAGATCGCAGCAACAGTAAGGGCCACAGAAGACAATGACACAGTTTCTCTAAGGTTTCATTTACATTTGTGTTTTCTGAATCTTTGCCACCCAAACAGTCTTCTGCTTCACACAGTCTGCACTAGGCTTTGACTGCTTTTGTTCTGCCTTGGTTCACTGCAGCCCTTTCTGCCGTGAGCGTAACTCACTTCCTTGTCGCAGGAGTTTTCTGAGCCTACTGTAACAAATCACCACAATCTTGGTGGCTTAAAATAACAAATATTTATTTCCTCTTATTTGGGAAGCCGGAAGTCCAGAACCGATACACTGGCAGGGCTGTGTCCCTTGGGGCATCTCAGGCTTCTTCCTGCCGTCCCGCCTCTGTGGACTTCTGGTGCCATTTCCCTGGAGGGCCAAGGGATCTGGGCCGCCCGTGGATTTCGTGAACACCTCCCCAGGGCTCTGGGTCAGAAAGCCTTGGGAAACTTTATTATTGTATTATTTTTATTTTTATTGTATTTTTTATTTTTTTGAGACAGAATTTTGTTCTTGTTGCCCAGGCTGGAGTGCAATGGCACAATCTTGGCTCACCACAAACCTCCACCTCCTGGGTTCAAGCAATTCTCCTGCTTCAGCCTCCCAAGTAGCTGGGATTACAGGCACCTGCCACCACACCTGGCTAATTTTGTATTTTTAGTAGAGACGGGGTTTCTCCATCTTGGCCAGGCTGGTCTCGAACTCCCAACCTCAGGTGATCTGCCCACCTTGGCCTCCCAAAGTGCTGAGATTATAGGCATGAGCTACCTTGCCCACCGGGAAACTTTATTTTATTCCTTCTAGTACATTATTGGTAGTCCTGAGGAGCCTGTCAATTAAAAAACAAGAGAAACAAAGAGAAAAATATGCGTTTGGCCAGGTTTAATGTTGTGACCAGGGGATCCATTTCCTTACCATCCACCGCCCCGAGCCAGGAGCAGAAGAGGCCCCTGCTGGAGTTTCTTCTAGGTGGACTTTCCTTTCCTTGAGCCTCAGCATCCTTGTGTTTGCAGCTGGGAGGTCGGCCCTGACGTCCTCACTTCCACCTGTGGTGAGATGGATGCAAAGATCCCGGCAGTGTGTCTGCACAAGGCTGGCCACGCTTCCTGAGGCACTGTCTCCGGTTCACTTCTGTCCACAGGCCACGTCCCTGCCTCCCCGTGGACTTTGTCCCTGTAGCTGCTGTGCCCAGACACCCCCAAGCCTGGCCCCACCTGCAGGGACCAGTCTCCTGTCTGGGCCTCAGTTCTGCCATTTCTGAATACAGGCATTGTCCCTGATTCTTTCTAGGGTCCCTTAAATTTTTTTTTTTATTTTTTTATTTTTTTTAATTTTTGAGATGGAGTTTCACTCTTGTTGCCCAGGCTGGAGTGCAATGGCACAATCTCAGCTCCCTGCAACCTCTGCCTTCCAGGTTCCAGTGATTCTCCTTCCTCAGCCTTCCGAGTAGCTGGGATTACAGGCACACGCCACCATGCCCAGCTAATTTTTGTAATTCTATTATAGATGGGGTTTCACCATGTTGGCCAGGCTGGTCTCGAGCTCCTGAGCTCTGGTGATCTGCTCGCCTCGCCCTCCCAAGTGCTGGGATTACAGGTGTGCACCACAACGCCCGGCCAGATCCCTTAAGTTTCTAAGAATAGCCGGGCGAGGTGGCTCAAGCCTGTAATCCCAGCACTTTGGGAGGCCGAGGCGGGTGGATCACGAGGTCGAGAGATCGAGACCATCCTGGTCAACATGGTGAAACCCCGTCTCTACTAAAATACAAAAAATTAGCTGGGCATGGTGGCGCGTGCCTGTAATCCCGGCTACTCAGGAGGCTGAGGCAGGAGAATTGCCTGAACCCAGGAGGCAGAGGTTGCGGTGAGCCGAGATCGTGCCATTGCACTCCAGCCTGGGTAACAAGAGTGAAACTCCGTCTCAAAAAAAAAAAAAAAAAAAAAAAAAGTTTCTAAGAATATGCAGATCATCAGCAGGAACTAGGAACATCTGGGCATTTTCTCACTTCATGTTTTTTTTGTTTGTTTAATCCCTCATTTGTAACCTCAAGCCACAGAGGAGTGTTGAACAGCGTGACAGGGAGGGGACTGGCCCTGGAGGTCTTGCGGTCAGCCCTGCTCTGAGGCAGGCAGTCGGGGATAGAGCTGCATCTCCGTGGGGAATCCCCGACGGCCCCTCAGAGCTCCTGGCCGAGGCTCAGGTATTTTATCAGACACATGCCTGAGTGCCGCCTTCTAAGTCTTCCCTCTCCTCCGCTGTACTTCTGTTCTGGAAAAGAAATCCTTTCTCTTTTTTTGACAAGGTCTCACTCTGTTGCCCAAGCTGCAGTGCAGTGTCATAATCTCAGTTCACTGTAACCTCCTTCTCCCAGGCTCAAACAATTCTCCTGCCTCAGCCTCCCAGGTAGCTCGAATTACAGGCAAATGCCACCACACCCAGCTAATTTTTGTGTGTGTGTGTATATATATATATATATATATATATATATATATATATATATATATTTTTTTTTTTTTTTTGAGACGGAGTCTTGCTCTGTAGCCAGGCTGGAGTGCAGTGATTCAATCTCTGCTCACCACAGCCTCCCCCTTCCGGGTTCAAGCGATTCTCCTGCCTCAGTCTCCCAAGTAGCTGGGACTACAGGCACGCACCACCACGCCTGGGTAATTTTTGTATTTTTAGTAGAGACGGGATTTCACCATGTTGGCCAGGATGGTCTCTATCTCTTGACCTCGTGATCCGCCCACCTCAGCCTCCCAAAGTACTGGGATTACAGGCATGAGCCACCGCACCTGGCCTGGAATCCTTTCTCAACAGGTGACACAGTTCAAGGATTCAGCCTTGTTGCCAAAGTTACTTGTTACTGGCTCTGATATGTGATGTCTACACCAGGCAGTGGTGCAGTGAAGGCCTATAATAAACACACAAAATTCAGCAGGGCGCAGTGGCTCACACCTGTAATCCGAGCACTTTGGGAGACCAAGGCGGGTGGATCACGAGGCCAGGAGGTCAAGACCAGCCTGGCCAACATGGTGAAACTCCATCTGTACTAAAAATACAAAAACTAGCTGGGCATAGTAACAGGCACTTGCAGTCCCAGCTACTGGGAGGCTGAGGCAGGAGAATCCCTTGAACCTGGGAGGCGGAGGTTGCAGTAAGCCGAGATTGCTCCATCGCACTCCAGCCTGGGTGACAAGAGCGAAATTCCGTCTCAAAAATAAATAAGTAAATAAATACACAAAATTCAAAAGAACCGGCCACCAACTCTACCAAGAGAGAAACAACTATACATTTTATTGTTGAGAAATATTTTCTTAAATAAGTGTTTTCACTTCTTTCCTTACTGAAGCAGCTTTTCCTTGGCCTGCTGAAATGATGTTGGCTAAAATGTTCAATGTAACTAGAGGTATCTTCGGCATTTTCTTCCCTTAGCTTCATAACTTGTAGAACATCTCATACAAAAAAAGGTAGATTCACAGAAAAATATGCATATAAATCACTTATTAATCCCAAAATGTAGTAAATAACTAGCAAAAACGTTATCAAATCCGGAAACACAGACTGGACAGTTCGGTTGCACGTGACCCCTACATCTGCAGCGTTTTATAAATTGGTGCTTTGACATTAAAAAGGAGTTTTACAAAAAGACCCCTCTTGTAATATCGATGGCTCTCAATTCTCACCACCATTGCCTCTCAAATTCGAACCACTCGAATATTACGCTGTCACAAAAGCAGTTATTTTAAAGAAAAAGTTGCAGCACAATCATCGTGTAAGTAACATTCGACATTTCATGTTACCGAGAGTTGAGCAGAGCACTAATTTTCCCTTTATACACACACGTCTAAAGCAAGCTTCATGCACACCCACGTGGAAATCCCAAGTCTGACAGTGTAGTATGTCTCCACTGCCCAGGAGGCACCGTACACGCTCCCAAGCAGTGACATTCACAGAGAGAAACCACCGGAATCCAAGATGCCTCCACCAGCTGCCTGTGTGGCACTGAGTTTCTCCTGGCTAGACTGCGCCGTGCTCAGTGTAGAGCCTTCCTCACGAAATTTTGCAGCTGTTTCTGGTGCAGTGTTTGGGTGGGCTCTGGGGTGGGCGGATTAGCTTCACTTTGTGGAGGCTGCTCCTTTTGTGGGTGGAGCTGGCAGTGAGGGAGTAAGACCGTCCGTGCATCATCCTGGCGTTCAGGCCATTGGCCATGGAGAAGGACTTGAGGTGGCTTCTTAAGGTGATGGGCAACGGCAGCTTGTCCACCAGGTGCACTGGCGTGCAGGACACGACTGCCCGGCAGCAGAGGTCTTGCAAACTCAGCACTTGGGAGAGAAAAGAAAACCACACCTAGTGCACGTGCCTGCTGGGGCTGGAACGAGGGTGGTGCCCACACCTGTCCTCCCACCTTCCAGAGACTCGGACACCCATGGCCCTGGCTTGTAAATGCAGCAAACCCTGCCTCGATGTCACCTCTGCCCATGTACAGATTCCAGCAGTTCCTGCATAAGCTTTCTGACAGAGCTGCAGTAATGACTTCTCTCAAACGCCTAGCTCTGAGAAAGGACACAGTGGCCTTGAGACGGGTCCCAGGAGGCAGATACTTGCCCAGGGGGCCGCAGAACCAGCCCAGCATCTGGAGGGCAGGGGCACCCGGAATCGCCCTGGGCCTACCCTTGCTCGGCCGCCAGAGCCGGTCCATCCCATGCCGCAGCAGCACGATCCTGGCCAGCTCCGTGAATGACTCCGTGATGTTGAAATTGCACAGAGGGCTGACCTCAAAGAAGGTCACGCCCAGGCGCTCAGCGTAGGCCTGGGCCTGCTCTGTGGGCACCTGCCGCTTAAACGCCAGGTGCAGGCGGTTCCCCACCAGGATCTTGGGGACTCCGGGAGCGTGCTAGCGGGCAGGAGAAAGGCAAGGGTTACCTGAGTGAGACTTTGCTGTCACTGCAACGTGGGTGCCCTGGGTCGAGGAACCTCCACATGTTCACTTCCACCCAGAACCTCAGCATGGGACCCTGTGTGCAAAGACAGTCTTTGCAGATGTAAATAGTTATGGTGCAGCCACGCTGAATTAGGGCAGGCCCTCAATTAACGACTGGCACACATACACATGCACACACGGAGGAGGCCATGTGATGCAAAGGCAGAGACTGGAGCAGGGCAGCACAGGCCAGGGGGGGCCCAGGGTGGCTGGACGAGGCTGCTGGGGGAATCGGTCCTGTCAACACCTTGGTTTTGGGCTCTGGCCTCCAGAACGGCGGGAGAATGCGTTTCTGTTGTTCAGGACACTGGCCTGTGGTCATTAGTTATAGCAGCCTCGAGACACTCACACAGTGGGGTTGGTACTGACCATGCCACATCGCCATTGCCAGGTGGGCTGGTCTGTGTGTCCCCAGCCACAAGCCCCGGTCACTGCTTGTCAGCCCAGCCTGACCACAGCAGGGAGTGGAGCAGGCTGCCCGTGGGTCCTGACTCCACGCAAAGCAGAGCCACGTCACGGGCGCTTGTTTCATCTGGGCTAGCCTCCTGTGCCTCGGTGAGTCTCTGGCTGTACTCACGTCATGAGCCCGGTCAAATCCAGGGCTGTGCGGAAGTGAGGCACCCTCCTCGCTGCTGTAGCCCCATCCAGTGCCCGGCCCGTACTCCATGGGGACCCATGAGCCCTGCAGGTCCTGACCCTGATTCCTCATCTGACATCCTCCCAAGCCCACAGGGACCTTGGACGGTGGCATTGCTATGACATACCTCATCGATCTCCTTGATCCATCGATCAATCCCGTCGAAAGACCAGCGGTTCGCAATGTCATAGACCAGGATCACACCCTAGGGGAGAGACCACGGGTTCAGCACGCAGAATACAGACGCAGGCACAGCCGCGGCCACGCAGGCAAATATACAACCAGCTCAATAACCACTTTCCTCACGTTAACACGAGATTTATCAACCGAACATAGCAGTTTTACGATTATTTCCAATGATATTTCATAAGCTCAGTGATAAAGCCTCAATTGTCAAGGTGAGCTGCGGACTAGAACTCACACCCATGGGCCACTCCAGGAACACAGGATGCAAGGGCACCACAGTAATCACCGCCTCTCAAGGAGTGCGGCCCCAGCCACCTGGATAGCCTGCATGCATACACCTGCACACACACACACAGTACACACACGAAGGCACGGATGCACATATGCACATACAGTGCATGTATCTGCACACATGTTGAACACACACATTCATGCACAGATGCATGCATGCACAGTGCACATATCTGCACACACGTATGCACAGAGGCACGCATGCACAGTGCACACATACACAGTTCATGTGTTCACATTCATGCATATATACAGGGAAGCACACACATACACATCACACACAGGCACTCATGCACAGTGCAAGTACCTGCACACACATTGTGTACACACATATACGCAGGCACTCATGCACAGACACACATGCACAGTGCACACACATACAGCTCATGTTCACACACACATATACAGGAAGCACACACATACACATTACACACACATGCACTCATGCACAGACACATGTACATACCTGCACATAGACTGTGTATGTGCACGCACACTAAATGCAGGCTTACATCCCTAATGCTGACGAAGGCTTTCAAGCAACCAACCACTCTACAGGACCTGTTTGTTTTGAGACAGAGTCTCCCACTGTTGCTCAGGCTGGAGTGCAGTGGTGCGATCTTGGCTCAATGCAATCTCTGCCTCCTGGGTTCAAGCAATTCTCCTGCCTCAGCCTCCCAAATGGCTGGGACTACAGGCATGCACCACCATGCTCAGATAATTGTTTTGTATTTTTAGTAAAGACGGGGTTTCACCATGTTGGCCAGGATGGTCTTGATCTCCTGACCTCGTGATCCGCCCGCCTTGGCCTCCCAAAGTGCTGGGATTACAGGCATGAGCTACCGCGCCCGGCCCATGTTTTTAGACTCTTGGCACCAATTTATACTTAAGCTTAAATGCCTTATCCTCCAATTATCCATTAAAGGATGGTTAGTTAAGCATTGTAAATGTTATTCAAAGTCGGTTTGAGCTCCCAGCTCAGGGGATGCTGCGTTACCTGTGCACCCCGAGAGTAGGAGCGGAATATGGTGCAAAATCTTCCCTGCCCCGAAGTATCCCTGGAAAAGATGTTGGAGACCATTAAGAAGAAATCAGTGCTTCTTCCTGACAACTGGTTCTCGAACTTCAGAACCACGGCAAATGCACCGCACAGCCGCTGGTCAGTGGCCACCATGCTGCTGTGCAGACCCCCAACATAACTGTCCCATGCCCCCAGTGTGATCCGGGTAACAAAACTGTCCCACGTCCCTGATGTGGTCCAGTTAACAAAACTGTGCCATGCCCCCGACGTGGTCTGGGTAACAAAACTGTCCCACGTCCCTGCTGTGGTCCAGTTAACAAAACTGTGCCATGCCCCCGACGTGGTCTGGGTAACAAAACTGTCCCACGTCCCTGATGTGGTCCGGGTAAAAAAAACTGCCATGTCCTGACGTGGTCCAGGCAACAAAACTGTGCCACGCCCCTGACGTGGTCTGGCCAAGAAAACTGTGCCACGCCCCCGACATGGTCAGGGCAACAAAACTGCGTCACACCCCCGATGTGGTCCAGGTAACAAAACTGTCCCACATCCCTGATGTGATCCAGGTGTCGGCATGTCCTTCCAGGCTCATGCTCTTCTCTGTCACTTAAAAAGTCAAACTAGAAAAAACAGTGATGGTGCGATGGTTTTAACAGAATTCTCAGACATTTAAATATATTCAATATAGAGTTTTAAAAATTAGTTGGATTTGGGGATAAAGCTATGTAGAAATGAGTGTGGGTCTATACCAGGGGAGAGAGGTCAGTGGGATACTTGTTCTTCTGGTTAGACTGTAACAGCTCACACGAGTCAGCCCTTCAGATGTGCTCTAAAGGGTGGGAAGGAATACAGGGAACTGACTGGCGTGGGCTGAGGGCAGGGCTTAGTTCTTAGGTGATGGCACACACAGCAGGCACTGGGACCCAGAGAGACCAGAACGGAGCTCCAAGAAACAAATGAAAGACTGGGTGCTGTGGCTCACCCCATAATCCCAGTGCTTTGGGAGGCTGAGGCGGGTGGATCACCCCCATATCCCAGCGCATTGGGAGGCCGAGGAGGCCAGAGCACTCTCATAATCCCAGCGCTTTGGGAGGCCAAGGCGGGCAGATCACCCCCATAACCCCGGCGCTTTGGGAGGCCAAGGAGGCCAGATCACCCCCATAATCCCAGCGCTCTGGGAGGCCGAGGAGGCCAGATCACCCCGCTAATCCCAGCGCTTTGGGAGGCCGAGGAGGCCAGATCACTCCCATAATCCCAGCACTTTGGGAGGCTGAGGAGGCCAGATCACCTCCATAATCCCAGCTCTTTGGGAAGCCGAGGTGGATGGATCACCCCCATAACCCCAGTGCTTTGGGAGGCCGAGGCGGGCGGATCACCCCCATAACCCCAGCGCTTTGGGAGGCCGAGGTGGCCAGATCACCCCAATAACCCCAGCACTCTGGGAGGCCGAGGAGGCCAGATAACCCCCATAATCCCAGCACTTTGGGAGGCTGAGGCCAGATCACCCCCATAATCCCAGCTCTTTGGGAGGCCGAGGCGGGTGGATCACCCCCATAATCCCAGTGCTTTGGAAGGCCGAGGCGGGCGGATCACCCCCATAACCACAGCGCTTTGGGAGGCTGAGGAGGCCGATCACCCCCATACTCCCAGTACTTTGGGAGGCAGAGGAGGCTGGATCACTCTCATAACCCCAGCGCTTTGGGAGGCCGAGGCCAGATCACCCCCATAATCCCAGTGCTTTGGGAGGCCGAGGAGGCCGGATCACCCCCATAATCCCAGCGCTTTGGGAGGCCGAGGCCAGATCACCCCCATAATCCCAGCGCTTTGGGAGGCCAGATCACCCCCCTAACCCCAGTGCTTTAGGAGGCCGAGGAGGCCAGACCACCCCCATAACCCCAGCGCTTTGTGAGGCCGAGGAGGCCAGATCACCCCATAATCCCAGTGCTTTGGGAGGCCGAGGAGGCCAGATCACCCCATAATCCCAGTGCTTTGTGAGGCCGAGGAGGCCAGATCACCCCATAATCCCAGCACTTTGTGAGGCCGAGGAGGCCAGATCACCCCATAATCCCAGTGCTTTGGGAGGCCGAGGAGGCTGATCACCCCCACAATCCCAGCGCTTTGGGAGGCCAAGGCAGGCGGATCACCCCCATAACCCCAGCGCTTTGGGAGGCCGAGGAGGCCAGATCACCCCCATAATCCCAGCGCTTTGGGAGGCCGAGGTGGGCTGATTACCCCCATTATCCCAGCGCTTTGGGAGGCAGAGGAGGCTGGATCACCCCCATAATCCCAGCACTTTGTGAGGCCGAGGAGGCCAGATCACCCCATAATCCCAGTGCTTTGGGAGGCCGAGGAGGCTGATCACCCCCACAATCCCAGCGCTTTGGGAGGCCAAGGCAGGCGGATCACCCCCATAACCCCAGCGCTTTGGGAGGCCGAAGCAGGCGGATCACCCCCATAATCCAAGCGCTTTGGGAGGCTGAGGCCAGATCACCCCCATAATCCCAGCGCTTTGGGAGGCCGAGGTGGGCTGATTACCCCCATTATCCCAGCGCTTTGGGAGGCCGAGGAGGCCAGATCACCCCCATAATCCCAGGGTTTTGGGAGGCCGAGGCAGGTGGATCACCCCCATAATACCAGCGCTTTGGGAGGCCAAGGCGGGTGGATCACCCAAGGTCAGGAGTTGGAGACCAGCCTGGCCAACATAGTGAGACCCCGTGTCTACTAAAAATAGAAAAATCAGCCATGCGTGGTGCTATGCTCCTGTAGTCTCAGCTACTCAGGAGGCTGAGGCAGGAAAATTGCTTGAACCCGGGAGGTAGAGGTCACAGTGAGCTGAGATCCTGCCACTGCACTCCAGCCTGGGTGACAGAGCCAGACTCTGGCTCAAAAAAGGGAAAGAAATGAGCATGGAAAGCGCACTCCCCACGGATCAGTCTCAGTGGAGGTGGCCTCGGAGGCAGCCAGCTCTGTTTCCCGGAGTCTGCAGGTGCCATCAACATACCCACATGGCTGGGAGATTCCCCGGTGGGTCGGGGGCTGGCCCTGCACACACTCGAGACACGGCCTCACAGTTGCACAGTGGGCCACGGCATGGTGTTGCTGTTTTTGTTACAAGCACCTGTGGGCAGTACCACCCTCAGCACCAGACAGAAGGGCCTGGGGCTCCAGAAGGCCCATAGACACTGGCCACGGCTGAAGCCTGGGAGTGGGTGCCTCTTTTCATGAGAAGCATATTGATGCAGAATTCAAGCCTCAGCAGGACCTCAGGTGGTCAGGCTTTGCACACAGGGGGAGCTGCCCAAAAGCTCAAGGTGGAGGCCGCAGCAGGCCAGGTGACCTGCCAGCTTCTCAGGGAGGCCAAAGGGCCAGCACATGCAGAAAGAGTGTGGCACAGCCTGGTGTGAAGTGGGAGCACTCCCTCTCACCTGGGACAATGTGCCGGCCTCCTGCACAGCCCTGAAGGAGCAGAGCAGAGCACACCACCACCTCCAGCGGGGGGCAGGGTACAGGGAGGCGAGGATAGGTGCAGCCAGGCAGGAGACCCAGCTATGGGCATCAGGAAGGATCGCATCTGGAATCCACGTGCAGATGTGACCGTGCTCAGAGGACAGTGTGGACGGAGCTGGAAGGTGGAGTGTGAGTGTCTCAGGGGACAGTGTGGACGGAGCTGGAAGGTGGAGTGTGAGTCTCAGGGGACAGTGTGGACGGAGCTGGAAGGTGGAGTGTGAGTGTCTCAGGGGACAGTGTGGACAGAGTTGACACCTGTGCTAAATGTGAGCAGTCAGGGTCCTTCTGGGCCTGGGGTGATTGGTCACTGGCAGGAGCCCCCTGGCCTCTCACCCCGGAGGTGACAGAGAGAAAAGTGCTGAGGGTGACTCTTCTGATCAGTGGGGTTCAGGGAGGCGTTTGATAACGTGAACAGCCAGGGCCTGGCTGGAGTTAGGGATGGTGCGAGCCAGCCCTGATGCCAGGCAGATGAGAGTAACGAGCTCGGGACAGGCATGGGGCTGAGTTGGGCCTTCTGATGGCTGGGGGACTGAAGGAACGTGTGGTCTTGGGGAGGGAGAGGAGACCTGAGAACAAAGCTCAGGGCCTGCAGGACTCAGGGCCGGGAGGGGACAGCAGATGCCCAGCTGGTGGAGGGTGGCGCGGGATGGGGGCTGATGTCGACCCCAACGGCTGCCCAGAGAGGGCATGGCCCTGGAGGAGTGGGGGCTTGGCCGGGCAGGAGGCCCAAATCCCTGCAGCCAGAAGGGCCACGGTGCTTGGGGACATTGTGGAGAAAGGCTCTCTGGGACTGGCCATGCTGGACAGGGCAGGGTGGGGGTACTGTTCAGAGAAGGTCCTGAAACTGGAGGCGTATGTGGCTTGGGAGGAGCCCAGCAGGCAGCAAGAGCCAGGAGGCCCCGGCGAGGGTCACGCAGGGCTGGCAGCAGTGGGGGAGGGATGCCCGGGAGCGAGGCAGCCCCAAGAGGAAGTACCACAGGAGCCCACCCATCCTCACTGCCCCACGGAGCAGAAACCACACAAGCTCCCATCCTAACCACCCCACAAAGCTGGTACAGCAGGAGCTCCCACAGCCCAACCACCCCTTAGAGCAGAAACCACAGGAGCCTGGCATCTCTGCTGCCCCACAGAGCTGGTACAGCAGGAGCCCCCCTCCTGCATCCCCACTGCTCCATGGAGCAGAAACTACAGGAGCCCCCATCCAGAGTCAGGAGCTGTGGAGGGAGAGGCCCTGGGCTTGCCTCCAGGTGGGAGCTGGGTTCTCACATCTGAGACAGCAGAGCCAATGGTCCTGGCTGGCCAGCTAGTAAGTCCTCACCTCCCATGTCTGGCTCCTCCACCTGCCGGCCAGATCACAGCCCCCCTGGCACCAGAATGCACTGAGCTTCCTACTGGGCGTGCAGTAGCATCGCTGGGTGAGGTGTGGGGGACCCAGGAATGCCAGGCTGCCTCAACCACACTGCACTGGTCCCTGCCTGGCATCTTCCCACAAACACCAGGCCACAGGTTCTGACCCCAAAAGCCTTTCCTCGGCCACAGCGCTATGGCCATTGTGGGGTCCCCTACTCTGGATAATGGGGGCCCAGACAACCAGACCACTGCCTCCTTCAGAAAAGCCCTGCTTCAGTGGGGCTGTGGCTCCTTGGGTGCTGTGCCGGCTGGGGGTGCTCCCTGGGGTGCTGTGTTGGCTGGGGGTGCCCCCCAGGGTGCTGTCCTCATTGGGGGTGCTCCCTGGGGTGCTGTGGCAGCTGGGGGTACCCCCTAGGGTGTTATCCTGGCTGGGGGTGCTCCCCGGGGTACTGTGTTGGCTGGGGGTGCTCCCTGGGGTACTGTGCCAGCTGGTGGTGCTCCCAGGGTACTGTGCCGGCTGGGGGTACTCCCTGGGGTGCTGTGCTGGCTGGAGGTGCTCCCTGGGGTGCTGTGCCAGCTGGGCATGCCCCCGGGGTGCTGTGCCAGCTGGGGGTGCTCCCCGGGGTGCTATGCCAGCTGGGGGTGCCCCCCCAGGGTGCTATCCTGGCTGAGGGTGCTCCCTGGGGTGCTGTACCAGCTGGAGGTGCCCCCAGGGTGCTGTCCTGGCTGGGGGTGCTCCCCGGGGTGCCGTGCCGGCTGGGGGTGCTCCCTGCGGTGCCCTGCTGGCTGGGGGTGCCCCCGGGGTGCCTTGCTGGTTGGGGGTGCTCCCCAGGGTGCCTTGCTGGCTGGGGGTGCCCCCGGGGTGCCTTGCTCGCTGGGGGTGCCGCTGGGGTGCCTTGCTGGCTGGGGGTGCTCCCCGGGGTGCTTTGCTGGCTGGGGGTACCCCTGGGGTGCTATGCCAGCTGGGGGTGCTCCCTGGGGTGCTATGCCGACAGGGTTGCTGTGCCAACCAGGGGGGTTACTCCTGGGAGTGTGGGACGCTCGAGCCTCCTCCATACTCACCAGAGCTGCAGTTTCACCCGCCGCCCATCCAGCAGGATGGTGGTCGTCTTGTAGTCAATGCCTGTGGAAGGGTTAGAGACAGCGTAAGCCTGAGGCTGCCAATAATGAACGGGGCGCTGGAAGTCAGGACACACTCACTTCCAGGGGAGAAATGGGTTTCTCAGCAGTGCAACTTCCAGGTTTACAAGGCAGGTGGATGGAACCCCTCCCTGCGTCTTCCCAGGCTCGACGGGGCCCATCTGTGCCCACCTGCAGAGGAGCCCCCTGGCCTTCTGGCACAGGAGAACCTGTGCCTCTCCTGTCCTCAGCCGCCTTGGCCTCTGTGGGGGTCAGGCTCCATCACCCTGGTGCTGGGGTTCCCCGAAGGACACTGCAGAGCCCACACGTGACCTGGAGGCCTGTGGGTTTGCTGCCCCTGTCTGGGCTGGTCGCTACCGCCCACATCCTCCCCAAGCCTGCAGGCCCCAGAGCTCCGACTCAGCTCTGTTTCCAAGGGAACAAGGCGAAGGCGGCAGGTCTGGAAACGCTGAGACCGCAGTGCCACACTAGGACAGAGCAGTGAGCACAGGGGTGACACTGCGTGGGATGCCCACTCTTGCTGTGTGAGTGCGCCAGCTGCGTACGTACAGGCTCAGGGAGGGGGTCTGCATGGCCGTCCAGGGACCCCCAGGGCACAGATTATGGGCCAGCTGGAACCTTCTGTCAAGTTAAAAAAAAATGAGAATGCATTTCTTCTTCTTTTTTTTTTTGGGAGACGGAGTTTCGCTGTTGTTACCCAGACTGGAGTGCAATGGCACAATCTCAGCTCACCGCAACCTCCGCCTTCTGGGTTCAAGCAATTCTCCTGCCTCAGCCTCCCAAGTAGCTGGGACTACAGGCACGCTAATTTTTGTATTTTTAGTAGAGACAGGGTTTCACCTCGTTGACCAGGATGGTCTCGATCTCTTGACCTCGTGATCCACCTGCCTCAGCCTTCCAAAGTGCTGGGATTATAGGCGTGAGCCACCACACCCGGCCTCTTCTTTTATTTTTTTTTGAGAGGGGATTTCTCTCTGTTGTCCAGGCTGGAGAGTGGTGGCGTGATCAAGGCTCACTACAGCCTCCACAGCCCAGACTCAAGTGATCCTTCCACCTCAGACTCTTGAGTAGCTGAGACTACAGGCGTGTGCCACTGTGGTCTTGTTTAACTGTATTTTTTTGTAGAGACAGGGTTTTACTATGTTGCCCAGGCTGGTCTCGAACTCCTGAGTTTACATGATCTGCCCAGTTCAACCTCCCAGTGCCGGCATTGTGGGCATGAGCCATCATGCCAGGACATTTCTTCTAAAATAAAAAACTATAATAAAGGCTGGGCACTGTGGCTCATGCCTGTAATCCCAGCACTTTGGGAGGCTGAGGCAGGTGGATCACTTGAGGTCAGAAGTTTGAGACCAGCCTGGTCAACATGGTGAAACCCCATCTCTACTAAAAATTCAAAAATTAGCTGGGCATGGTGGCTGGCACCTATAATCCCAGCTACTTGAGAGGCTGAGGCAGGTGAATTGCTTGAACCTGAGAGGTGGAGGTTGCAGTGAGCTGAGATTGCACCGCTGCACTCCAGTCTGGGCAACAGAGTGAGACTCTGCCTCAGAAAAAGAAAAAACACAAAAAACTCCAATTAAAAAAAACTTTTTGAGACAGGGTCTCTCAGTGCAGTAGTGAGACCACAGCTCACTGCAGGCGCCACCTCCTGGGCTCACAGGCACGCCAGCACACCTGGCTAATTGACAGGGTACTGCTGTGTCGCCCAGGCTGGCCAACCTGACTGAAGCGATCCTCCCACTTTGGCCTCCCAAAGTGCTGGGATTACAGGCACGAGCCGCTGTGCCTGGCCGAAGTAAATAAATATCTTTCCCCATCCCCCCAGACACCAATGCTCTGCTTCTTTGAGAAAAAGCTCCTGTGTTCACTTCTAGCACTTCTGAATGAGCGCCAGGTCTGTTACTGAGAACATGGAAAGAGAGGGTTTTGGTTGAGGGGCTGGAGAATGCCAGGTAGGAGCAGCGCCTTCCTAAAAATAGGTACGACGGCACGGATAATCACAGGAACCCAAACTGCTTAGGAACGAGACATGACAAGCCTTTGAGGATTTGCTTGATTTATCTCACTTATAGGATTTACTTGAGAGTATCTCTCAGAGCACTAAACCTAGAAGAGACAAGCCTTGGCATCACCCTTGGGTGTGGTCAGACGCTGTGTGATGACACGTGTGGCTGAACGGGGTGTTAGAATTCTGAAGGGAAGAGAGCTGCTGAGAGGCCACAGGGAGGAGCGGCTCCAAGGCTGGTACCAGACCTCACCCTGGAAAGCATCATGGAGCACTCAGCCTCTGCAGCTCCTTCCAGAGAAGCCCGTGACGCAACCAGTGAGTGCTCAGAAACAGGCTCCTCTGAAAACACGAGGCTGCAGGGCCACGTTTCTCAAGCAGCATCTGCCCCCTCAAAGGGTCTAGACCCCTTGGACTTGGCTGCAAGCCCCCTGTATCCCAGGAGGCAGCATGCTGAGTTCCCGGTCTCCCGTCGGGCAGAGCAAGGGGTGCAGCCAAGGTGGGGCAGGTGGCCTCCTGCTCTCTCTGACAGCTGGCTGTCCACATCCTCAGGCAGGCCTGGGCGTTGCAGAAGTTCCGGGCCCATGTCCTCTGCCTTCCACTGATAAAGTTGTGAGTGTGTCCACTCCTGCCTGATCTGAGCACGCCTGTGCAGCACCTTCCCTCCACCCCTCCGTCCCCAGCTGCTGGCTGTATCCAGCCTGTCACCTGCCCCCTGCTTCCTCCCCCAGGCCCTCCTAGACTCCAGAGGCTCTTCCCACAGTGTCCCCACCAGAGACCCAGCGACATGGAGTCCAGGCTTTCCACATCCTCCAGTGTCTCTTGTTTAACTGCATGCTCTGTCCACGAGCCGGGCCATCATGCCACTTTGTAGGTCAGACAAAGCAACAGCAGAGCAAACACCACCCCATCCAAGGAAAGTGATTCAGAGGACAAAAGATGCCAGCAGCATTAAGAATGCCCGAAGTGGCTGGGTGCGGTGGCTCATGCCTATAATCCCAGCACTTTGGGAGGCCGAGGCGGGTGGATCACGAGGTCAAGAGATCAAGACCATCCTGGTCAACATGGTGAAACCCCGTCTCTACTAAAAATACAAAAAATTTGCTGGGCACGGTGGCATGTGCCTGTAATCCCAGCTACTCAGGAGGCTGAGGCAGGAGAATTGCCTGAACCCAGGAGGTGGAGGTTGTGGTGAGCCGAGATCATACCATTGCACTCCAGCCTGGGTAACAAGAGCAAAACTCTGTCTCAAAAAAAAAAAAAAAAAGAATGCCCGAGGCACCCACTCTGCAGATGCCACCTGCTCTGTCGATGAGGCTCAGAAAGACCCGCCAAGCAGGCCTCTGACCCTCACAGTACGAGGCTCTCCTGGGCCGGCCACACATTTGCTGCCAGGCCCAGCGGGCACACTGAGCAAGCTTCCTGTCTCTGCCTCTGTTTCTCTCCTGGGCACAGGCACTGATGGAGCACTATTACGGGACCTTTGGGATGTTTCTTTTCTGGCTGGAAACCTCTATGGCTGCTGAATTATTGTCCTGCATCCAGGAAGAATGAGGTATGTAGACAAGTGGAGGCTGAGCTCGATGAAGAGGAGCTTTACTATGTTACAACAGCTCAGAGGAGATCTGTGGTGGGTGGCTGCTCTCTGCAGGCAGGGCATTCTGGCCAGTGTTCAGCTCTTGGCAGAGAGAGCAGCTCTCTGCAGCATCTGGATGTCTGAGCTGCCCCAGCTGAGTCTGGGGTTTTTATGGTCTTCGGGTGTGAAGTGCATGCTGATTGGTCCACAGGAAGCCTGGACTCCTGCCCCACTCTGACAGTCAAAGCACCATACATTCCCCTTCCAGTTGCAGGACTGGCAGCCCGGGCCCCAGGCCCCCTCCAAGGGGTGGCTTCCCTGGGAACCTGCCCCCTTGCACCCAGGAGCCCGTCTGCCTCCTGGGAACCTGCCCCTTTCTGCCTAGGAGCCTGCCTCCCTCTGCCATTCACAGCACCCAGCCTTGTTTGTGCCAAGGGCTGCCCACAGGCACCCTCAGCCCCCTTGGCTTCCCTCCCATGTTCAACAACGCCCAAAGTCTGGAGGGGGCTGAGTCCGGGGGGCTGGTGTGTCAGGGCTGCCCCAAGTGTGCACCCACTTGGCGGTCTGCAACAGCACCTGGGCTTGGCCCCAACCTTGCTCCATGACTGGAGCGGGCGCAGAGAGTGAGGAGGAGCGAGGCAGCGGGGGCAGGCACTTCTAACCCCGTGAAGGGCAGGGGGCTTCCCAGGCCACTTCTAACCCTGCAAGGGGCAGGGGGCTTCCCAGGCCCCCTAGGGCATAGACACGTCCGTGTTTGGAGCTGCGGCAGGGAAGCTGCAGCAGTACCCAGGGAGGGCTGAGCTCCTGCCTGTCCCGTGGAGTGGGAGGCCCAGCCACACCTCCCTGCTGCCACCGGCATCCTGACAGAAGCCACTCTAGATGGGCCACTACCATCAGCATCTTAGCACCGTGAGCTTGACCTCACTGCTGTGGTGGATGGGGCGTAGCCTCCATTGCTCTCAAACCAAAACATATTCGTATGGCTTTCTCAAGTGACCAAGTCAGCATGGAGGAAATAATCCTTTTATAGAAAGGAAAATACTCAGCAGGCATGGTGGCTGCCTGTAATCCCAGCTCTTTGGGAGGTCAAGGTGGGAGGATCGCTTGAGACCAGGAGTTCAAGACTGGCCTAGGCAACACGTTGAGATATCATCTCTACAAAAAATTAAAAAATTGGCCAGGTGCGGTAGCTCATGCCTGTTATCCCAGCACTTTGGGAAGCTGAGGTGGGAGGATCACGAGGTCAGGAGTTTGAGACCAGCCTGGCCAACACGGTGAAACTCCATCTCTACTAAAAATACCAAAATTAGCTGGGTGTGGTGGGGTGTGCCTCTAATCCCAGCTCCTCAGGAGGCTGAAGCAGGAGAATTGCTTGAACCCAGAAGGTGGAGGTTGGGTG